ATCACTGTCTCCTCTCCACCAATAAGCTGGTGTGTGGTGGGCGTTCTAGCGCACTATGGCTGCCGTCGCATCATCCAGGTGGATGCTGCACACTGGTGGTGGATGAGGAGATACCCCCTGACAATGTAAAGCGCTTTGAGTGCCTAGAAAACCGCTATATAAATGTAATGAATTAAATTAATATAATTGTTACATGATGGGCCCTTTTCACAGGCTGTGATGACTTGTTTCCAAAGTGTTTAATATTTTAATTGTTTCGTGTCATTGATATACTACTATAGTTTTTATTCATATTTTGAATTAGGTTTTATATATATATATATATATATATATATTCTGTTTTAATTTTGTTGTGTTTTTTGTCATTTTTCTTAGTTTTCCTATATAGGTTTTACTCATTTTTATTTCAGTTTTAGTTATTTTAGCACATCAAGTTAAAATAAATGAAAATGAGGACTGTTGCTTTGGCAGCTAGTTGGAATAAAATAAGTTTTAGTTTTTTATATATTACTTTATTTCAGTTAAAGTTTATTTTATTTCAAGTAGAGAAAGTTTTTATACCATAATAAACCTGCTTTAAATTACAGAAAACTACAGGCTTGTTGAGGCTTAATTGGGGGCATAAGTAAAGACTTTTAGGAATTGTTTTAGGGACAAAACACTTGGGAAATGTCTTGATGTAAACAAGTAGTAATCATGGTATGAGCTAAATAATTGATGCTGGATTGTAATATTATTGAAAATGTTTCATTATTGCATTATTGAAAGGCTTCACATTATGCCTGTATTATATACATTTTTTAATAATTCAGTGTCAAGTCAAGTCACCTTTATTCATATAGCACTTTATAAAATACAGAGCAGCACTAAAATGACAACAGTTATTATCCAGTTCATTGTTGATTCAGTTTGATTCAATAACTGTGTAAAGTTCATCAATTATGGAATGAGTTCAATTAATGTATAAAGCAGGTTTGGAGAAAACAGAGATGCCATCATCCAGCTCAGTTCAGTTCTCATCCAGTCTTGTCAGTACAGTCGATTCATTAATATTGCTGGATATTAGATGCCCCCAACTAAGCAAGCCAGAGGCGACAGTGGCAGGGAACCCAAACTCCACCTGTGACAGAAATGGAGGGGGGGAAAAAAACAAAAAACCTTGGGAGAAACCAACAGAAGGTTCTGAGTTGTTAGGGTATTCTTGGTGGTAGCCTATCCACAACACTTCAAAAAAAAAAAAAAAAAAACCTTGGAAACGCATGTATCAGGGTCTGTGAAAAGG